TCATGGGCAGTTTGTTTTAAGCCGGGTGTTGGTGGCGCATGCCTTTTTATCCCAGCACTCGGGAGGCAGAGGTAGGCGGATCTCTGTGAGTTTGAGGCCAGCCTGGTCTACAGAGGGAGTTCCAAGACAGCCTCCAAAGCTACAGAGAAACCCTGTCTCAAAAAACAAACAACAAAAAAAGAGTCTGTTTCAAGCGCTGGAGGTAGACTGCAGGGTCTTGTACATGCTTTACACCACTGAGCTAAAGTCTCAGCCCACACCTTTGGAGGGGTGCGGGGGTGTGGGTGTGGGTGTCTGTGTGTCTGTGGGTGTGGGTGTCTGTGGGTGTGGGTGGTTGTGTATGTGTGGGTGTGGGTACGGGTGGGTAGGTGGGTGGTGTGTACTTGTATTACCACATTAAGTAACAAACAGGCAGCGGGTCTTTCTGTTGCCTGTTTTCCTGAGTGAAATGCTGGACCTGGGGTAGAGAATTGTAAAGGTAAGAGTTTTTTCCAAATCCCAGTTGTGGGTTCCCTGAATTCCATTTAGAACCCTTTGCTGAGTGCTGAAAAAAAGCAAACAACTATTTTGTGAGGAAGCAGAATCAAGTCAAACCTGGAGCCTTACAAAATGAATGACCACTTGAGTGAGGTGAGGGAAACCAAGAGACTGGGCCACATATTTTTATCCCCACAACATGATGGGCCATTAGTCAGCATGATTCAAAATGAGTTCAGAAGGGGCTCTGAGGCCCTAGCAGCTCAGCCAGAGTCAGCAGACCAGCAGGAAACCATGAGAACAGAGATGAGAGGGACACAGGCCCAACAGAGGAGCAGCCCAAACCTCAAGGAGCCACCCTCCTTCGGGGACCCCCCCAGTTTCTCTGTGCAGGGCTAAACAACGCACCTCTCAGACTCCACTCCCTAAATTCCATCCCCAGATGGCCTCCTCCTTCCAGTTGTTTCAGCGTGCTTAACTGCACAACACGATCTCTTCCTAAAAATGTAATTACCCTTATCTATTTGGGGGAGCAGAGGGGGCATGTGAGCTGCCATGCGGGTGTGTTGGAGTTCAGTGGACAGACTGCCAGTGGGATCTGTCTCCTGTGAACCCAGCCTGGGTCACACTCAGTTTGCAGGCCTGCCGGCAAGCACTCACTACCTGCTGGGCAGCCTCACCGGCCCATGCCTTTGCCTTTCTAAAGCAGCAGATTTTACCCAATCTGCATAGCCTTGTACACTACTGCAACTTTCAAGTCTGTTTGTGCACAGCTACTTGATAAAAGGCCTTGTGTGTACCCTGTGTGGGTATATGCGCCCGTGCATGTGCCTAAATGTGGACACACACAGCGTCAGAGGTCAACGTCAGGTGCGTTCCTCTGTCACTCTCGATTTTTTAAGTTTTCCGACATGATCTCTCGCTGAATTTGAACCTGGCCATTTGGGCTAGACTGGCCAGCCTGGGAGCCTCTGGGATCCCCCTGTCTCTGCTTCCACAGTGTCGGGGTGACAGAGGCAGTCCCATGCCTTTATACAGGTTCCACGCTTATGCAGCAAGCCCTCTCCCAGCCCAGCACTAACTGGTTCTGCTGTTATGACACTGGATTCGTGCCCATGTGAATTCTAGCACTACCACGTGAAGAATCACAAAACCAACAAACGGAACAGAACAACAGAGTTTGCACCAGAAAGGCTTCTTGGGGACTATTTTGATATTGCTAAAGAAACAGAGAGGGAGAAACTAAATCAAAACCAGAAAGCCAGTGAGTGGGTCAGACAACAAGACTTTAATCAGGGCCCCACTACACTGAACGGCTCTTAATCCCAAACCCACAACTTTAAAGTGACAGCCAAGTTTAAAATTCTCAGCTAAAAAGAGCAAATAGTTAAGCCAACCCTTTTTCCTCCTTCAATTAGGTAGGGCACACAACAAAGACGTGACTATGCGGCAGTAATTGATTAGAATTAGCAAAAAAATTAAATTGCTACTGAACAGAAAGTGATGATGCCATTAAAATCCTGTGTGGCATTCTCTCATATTGCACAACTTATGACAAGAATCACAAACATTGGCTGGGCGGTGGTGGCTCAAGCCTTTAACCCCAGCACTCGGGAGGCAGAGGCAGGCAGATATCTATGAGTTCGAGGCCAGGCTGGACCGATAGCCTCCAAAACAATTCAGAGAAACCCTGTCTCGTAACCCCCCCCCCAAAAAAAAGAATCACAAGCATTAGCATGTAGATCTAGACCTAAATCAAGTTTTCAGTTTGCTCTCCAAATTTCCTAGTAACACCCCGTGCCATGCGATTCAGAACACAGCAGAAAGGACACACAGCAGTTAAAATAAAACCATTACTCACAAGTATACAAGAGATTCTATCATTAACAAATGCTGAGCATCTTTAGCCTCAAGAATAATTTCATCAAGAAAATTTCCTAGACAGTCTCTGTTCACCAACAGTCATGTCCCAAAGGACCAGGCAATGCAAAGTGATAGTTTTGTGGGTTTTTTTTAATGCACTTGTTATTTCTAAAAGGAAGGCATTCTCTAAAGTCCAGTGGGTGGGACATAGGGCTTCATTAAACTCTAACGAGTTCTCTGCTTTACATGCACTCTTTAGTGTGCTCAGTATCAGAAATGAGACAGACACAGAGAGAGAGAGAGAGACAGAGACAGAGAGAGAGACAGACACAGAGAGAGAGAGAGAGAGACAGAGAGAGAGACAGAGAGACAGAGAGACAGAGAGAGAGACAGAGAGACAGAGAGAGAGACAGAGAGACAGAGAGAGAAGGCAGGCACAATCAATCAATTCAGGAATACACAATCCAGAGCAGCATGGGCTACTCCCATCTTTCCCCCTTAAAGACCTTCGTAGCTAGCAAGAACAACGCCTACTTATAAAGGCAGTGCTCCATCCACTGTTAATCAACTTTGCTGAGAAAGTGGCGACACCTGAGATCATTACCTACCCACTTAATTCGTGTTCCTTGCTACTTATGCCTTGGTGGACACGAAAACGAACTGTTCCATGCACCACTGTGCAATGCCCAATGCCCATGTAGTGGTTGGCATGTAGCAGACGCAGATAAACGTTCTGTGTGCCTCCAACTATTAGGTAAGAAACCACGGTGCCATCCCGGGCTCCGGGAAAAGCACTAGTTAAGGGGCAGAGCAGGTGCTATGGGCAATGTACTCCCGGGCTCCGGGAAAAGCACTAGTTAAGGGGCAGAGCAGGTGCTATGGGCAATGTACTCCCGGGCTCCGGGAAAAGCACTAGTTAAGGGGCAGAGCAGGTGCTATGGGCAATGTACTCCCGGGCTCCGGGAAAAGCACTAGTTAAGGGGCAGAGCAGGTGCTATGGGCAATGTACTCCCGGGCTCCGGGAAAAGCACTAGTTAAGGGGCAGAGCAGGTGCTATGGGCAATGTACTCCCGGGCTCCGGGAAAAGCACTAGTTAAGGGGCAGAGCAGGTGCTATGGGCAATGTACTCCCGGGCTCCGGGAAAAGCACTAGTTAAGGGGCAGAGCAGGTGCTATGGGCAATGTACTCCCGGGCTCCGGGAAAAGCACTAGTTAAGGGGCAGAGCAGGTGCTATGGGCAATGTACTCCCATAGACACTAAATTGCAACAGTCTAGGGTATAAATTCTCGTCCTGGCTTTGGAGAGCCCTACACTTTGGGTTATGAACACGAAACCTCTCCAGACTACACTGCTCTGAAACACCTCAGCAGATTGCCTCAAAAGGAAATAATGAAACGGCTCTGGCATAAGTTAATCTTCTGTGTCAAATTCACAGTGTTAAGCATACTCCGAAGCCAGCCACATAAACAAAACCAAACTCCACAAAATCAGGCTGGGCTGAAGTTACATAAGACAGACTAAACTGTGGCTTTCCCCCCGTTACTCCTCCTGCTTCCCAGCGAACTCTGACACGTCTCTTAAGTGCATACAATTCCCAAGCAGGTGCGGAAGGCGCTCACTGATGAGCTTCCAAACAGGCAATGGTATTTCCAGCCCTACCCCACTTAAAATGCGAGCAACAACCCGAGGAACACCAGGAAACTGTAGACGAGTCCATTCTAGAAGCTTAAATCTTTTTTAAAAATTATTTTTAACTCGGCACTTACTTCAAGGTAGTTAGCAAAAGACGTTTCTCATAGTTCCCAGTGCCTCCGCTCAGGGAGGGCTCCTCGCGCGCCTAAGCCCACCACCCATCAGCGCCCGAGACGATCTGAATACAGATCTTTGAACGGAAGACAAAAGCGCGGGTTCCCTGGAGCTGGCACATCCAAAGGGAAAACAATCCTTCCCTGCAGCTCTAAACCCAAGTTGCTCCAGAGCTCCGAGTTTCCGGCACTTTCCGCCTCCCCCTGCACTCCCTTTTCATTGCCCACTTCACCCTGCTTTAATCCTGCGAAGCCTCCCTCCTGGCTTATTACGTGTAAACAATAGAAATGTCACAAGGAAACTCAGGAAGTAGATGAAGTCTCTAATTGCCGCCGTTTAACGATTGGAGATAATTACTATCTTCAAAATGTGGTTTCACCAACGGAGTGGGAGCCGCCGAGGCGGGCAAGCCACCGAGCTCCCCACCGCCGCCCCGAGGGTATCGGCAAGGCCGGGGCCCGAGGGGTACAGAGACCAGGGGGTGCGGGGGCCTAAGATGTGCGGAGAACCGGGTGGAGGGGTCCGGGAACCGTAGGTGAGGGGACCGGGAAAACCAGGCCCTCGGCCGGGCTCACTCCGTGCGCAGAAAAGCGGAGGCCAGCCGGGCCGCCCGGGTCACAGACCGGAACAATGCGCAGCCCCAGCGGAACGCGCTCTGGGCTCCCCGGCTGAGGCTCGGCGCTGTGGTCCCCGGGAGCCGGAGGTCCCCAACGGCCGCCAGCTCCCGGGTGCACTGAGCGACCCCGCGCGGTGCCCGAGCACCCTCCGGGCCGCAGCAGCGAGCGCCCCCGGGGACCCGAGCCCGAGGGAGCGCATCTGTGCGCGACGCCCCGACGCCCACGGCCCCAACTCACCCGAGGACCACCAGCTCCCCGTATTTCACCGGCTCCTTGTTGGGGGCGCTGGGCTCCTCCTGGCCGGGGGAAAACATGGAGCCGCGTTCGGCCGCCGCAGCCGCCTCCACCGCGATCCCCGCCGAGTCCGCGCCGCCGCTACACTCCCATCCCGAGAACGGGGTGAGCGCGCCGGGAAACGGCACGGCGGCGAACGGGGCGCGGGGCGGCCAGTCCCGCGGCTGCTCCGTCGTGGCTGCGCGCGTCCGCCCGCCGGCTTCCTCCCCCGGACCTACGCGCGCCGCGGCCGCCGCGAGCCGGACCCGGCGCGGAATGCGAGAGGCCGAGCCGAGCCCCGCGGGAGGAGGAGGAGGAGGAGGAGCGCGCGCCGCCGGGGGCCGAGCGGGCCGGGCAGGTGGGACGGCCGCGCCCCCGCCCGCGCCTCCGCGCTCCCGCGGCCCCCGCCCGGCCGCCCGCCAGCCCCCGCGGCCCGCGAGCGCCCCGTGTTATGTAAACATAGAGTAAAGGGGAAGGGAAGCCCTTAAAGGGGCAGCTCTGTTTTTCTCCGCACTTCCTCCGCAAAGTTGCAGCGCGGGGTCCTCCGGCCTCAGCCACGCGCGCCCGGGGCTCTTGGCCCGGCCCCGAGAGGAAGCCAGGCGTGTTGCTCGCCTGTTCGCCGTCGTGTCCATGCACACACCGACCTGGGGGCGGCGGGGTGGGGTGGGGGTCCCTGCTTCCAAAGCCAAGCCCTTGGGGGGGTGGCTTGAAAACTGAAGGAATGTGTCCCATTAGTGAGGGGATGGCATGGGGGATGGGGAGGCACCGGAGCTCCCCACCGCTGCAAGAAAAAGAAGAGGGGAGGGGGGGGAGAGAGAAAGAAGAAAGAGGGGAGGAGGGACAAAGAAAGAGATAAGGAAGGGGGAAGAGAGAGGGGGAAGGAAAAAGAAAAGTTAATGTTATTTTAAAGCCCTTACTTACGTCACTGTCCCTTCTTTCAATCCCGTAGGGAATTTTAAAAAGGAATTACCTAGGTGGGCTTTTTTTTTTTTAAATGAATACAAACGTTCCTTTATTACCATGGTTTAATCAAAGCACCGTTTGTATTTTATGTTTTTTTTTTTTACGGTACTGTGTCTTTAAAATATTGTAGGCTGTGATAGTTTTACTGACTGCTGTTTTTCATCATAGAGGAATTTATTATTCGAGCATTTATTAAGCCCTGCAACATGCTAGAGACACTACATATTATTGCCTGTCACTGCCTTTCCAGACTGTTAAATATTTAAAGAAATAAATACTGCAAAAGCTACTCTTTGTATAAACAGCTAGTGTACACACCACACACACACACACACACACACACACATTTAGGCTGTGACTCCAAGAGCTATAAAAGAAATAATTGCATGGGTAGCCGTCCATTCTTCTGCTGAGCACTGTGTGTGTATTACTCTCTGACAGACTATTACTGTAGTGTCATGCTTTCTGTAATTTTACTTCAGTTAGTAACTGGCTCTTTTTTTTTTTTTAATTTAGGCTTTAGAAACAAATTGCTTCAGGGTAACAAAAGCCACACTATTGATGAGCCTAAAATAAACTTTATTAAACAGTTACCTTATTTCCACTAATTACAGAAATTCTATTCTTATACTAAAGACAGCTATCCCCCTTACTGTGCATACCCTCTGTAGTTTTTCTCTGCTGGGAAAATGTAGAGGTTTAACCAGCAATCCTTCCTTAGAGAGCTGAAGTCTTTCTCATCAATCACACAGTGTTGCTAAATTTCTGGATGATCAGTGTGGCTTTCCTTACTCTCTGGTCCCACTTATACATAGACCTGTGCCAGTCAAGGATCCTTTGTATCATGCGGCCTCCGTTACCCATCTCCCTAATTATAGGACCTAGCTCTGTCATCTGAGCGTCCCCAGGTCTATTGTATTGCCGCTTCTGATCTCTAGGCTACAATTACCCCTTCTCTCTTGGCATGCTGTGCTTGTGGGCTTGTTTTACACTGTTCTAACTCCATTTCTTCCTCGCTGCGCTCTGCATCTGCTGAGAGGAAGATGGAAGCAAATATTTATTAACCTCCTACTAAGTTCCAAACACCAGGCTGAGTTTCCCATAAGCTGTCCCAGGTTGGCCTTGTCAGAGGCACTCCATTGCCACCGGCTGCCCAGACACCTCTTCCTTCCACGGGGGCATTTTTTCTTCTCTCCCAGCATGACCTGGGCGTGTCAAACGATATTGTTTCATCGGGTCTGTCTTTATGGAAGTTACTTACAGGCAGAGTTGCTTTCTCTGAGTTTTGTGTCTCAGTGGAGGCTTTGATCTTAGGTAGCTTGGGGCTAGTAAGTAGACCACGTCTGTCAAGCACTGTATCCCTTGCAAGCTCCTGGGAATCAGTCTGTTGACCACCAGCAGGAATACATGCATAAGGGTGACAGGCATGGGAATCCAAATGAGCAAATGGACCAAACAGGGACTGTGGCACACTGGTGGCCTGGGCCCTCTTAAGAGAGTATCAAACGCTCTACCTAATTATTACCATGTGACAATGACAGTTCACTGTTATGTATGGAAGTCCTAGTCCTGATTATGCTTAACCTCCCAATACTGAATGGTCAGAATGCATTCGGCTTTTTTGGATTTGCCTGAATGATTTTGTTTGATTGGCTGACTGTCCTTTGTATACAATGTGAGCTCACTGAAACTATGTCCACTTTCTAGGTGGTTCTCAAAGCCCCCATCTTTGCTTTTGCTGATTTTAAGGGAACATATATATGAGTGAAAATATAGGAATACTTCTCAAATGAGATCTAGCAGTGGAGCTGGGAGGTGATGGAGGACTTGACTTTCTTAGAGGTCTGGGACCCTAAAAACAAAGCCAAGTTGCATCTCTGATTCCTATCCCTTCCCTTACCAAATCTGCTTTGCAGCTCACACCAGTAAGAACAGCGCCACCCCCATCCCAGCTAACACTGGGAATCTGATGGTAACAGGAATTTATCCCCTCCTGATCGCAATTGTTTTACTAGCTGCAGGCTGGTGGGACAATCTGGCTGTACCATCTGCTAATCCACTGAGAGCCAGGGTGGGGTTGGCTGTCCTCGCTACCCCCATCAGCCCCTTCTCTACCCTCCTGCTGCCTCTGTCATGTATGTCCCCCAAATCACTCCAGAAGTCCTATTTCCTCAAATAGCTCAATGCTTCTGATAGATCTACCTCTTTTACTTTCAAAGTAAAAGCTTTAGCCGAAAGGTTATATTTACTTTGACATACTTGAAATAGAACCAACCATATATATCACCGTGTTTCCAGAATGAAGAGTCTAACTTTTTATCACACCATATTTATGTTTACAAAGACTAAGGAACAAGTGTTCTGTTTCAAAATATATATATTTGGACAAGTTGACTTCATGTGTGTGAAACATCAGACATTTGACTTTTAACCCGTATCTTCAACTATAGGCATCATGTTCGTTTCTGCCTGAGAGAGTAATATGAGTTCTTTGCCAAGCACTCAGAAAATGTGAGGAAAAGGGATTTTTGAAACCCATTTTTAAAAATCATCCATAACTTGACTGGAAATAACCCTGTTTATTCTGATGTGTTTTCCTTTTTTTTTTTTTTTTTTTTTTTTTTTTTTGGTTTTTCGGGACAGGGTTCGAACTCACAGAGATCCACCTGCCTATGCCTCCCGAGTGCTGGGGTGTTTTCCTTTTTTAAAACTTATTTTTACACCTTTACATACTTACCTGAGCGAGGGAAACTGCACACACACACACACACACACACACACACACACACAAGCGCGCGCACACGCACACACATTTCCGGTCATGAGGCTTGGTAGCAAGTATTTTTACCCCAAATTGAAGGTCTCCCCCACGTTCTTTTTGTGTGTGTGCATGTTTTATATTTGACATATCCTCCCTTACAGAATCTCTTGTCCTATTTTTTCCCATTTAATATTATGTTCTGAGTGGGTTTTTTCCCTCGTGACAATTTGGGGGATTTGATCAAAAGTATCCACATTTGTTAATCACTCCCCCTTTATGGAGTATTTTTAAAACTTTTCACTCATAAAGATATTCACATCTGTTGCAATTTTGCAGGAATGGATTTCTACAAATAATTACTATATCAAAGGGTTAAACAGTTTAAAGACCTTTTGATGTATACTTCCAAAGTGCCTTTTGAAATGATCGGGGCCTGCCAGCTTTCAAGGCAACCCAAAGTAAATGAGAGCCTAAGGGAATGCTCAGCAGAGGCTTTAAATGCCCCCTGGCTTGACAGGTGATCCTTTTTTGCATGTCTGTGATGGCTATTCTGAAATAGTTCACCTTTATTGTCTAACAACAAACACAGTGTAAGACCTCCGTATGTCTTAAGCACACACACATTACTGCATTATGGATTATAAGCGGTGTTCTGCCACGGGTTCTGGAACCTTTGCCTCCTGTGTGACAGCAGCTTCCTTCTCTTCCCCCCCCCCCCCAGCCTCTTTTCTCCTTTCAGTTTTGGTGAGCTGATTGCTTTATCGCACAGTATTTTTCCTTCTATGACTTGTTTACTATGCGTATCCCAATGGTCTCCAGACACATCCATATTGCAGAATGTGATAAGATTCCCTTGTCGGGGGCTGAGTATTCTATTTTCTTTCCTGTTTTCAAAGACAGGGTTTCTCTGTGTAGCCATGGCTGTCCTGGAACTCGCGTTGTAGACCAGGCTGGCCTTGAACCCACAGAGATCCGCCTGACTCTGACTTCAGAGTGCTGGGATTAAAGGCGTGCGCCACCACCTCCTGGCTATTTTCTTTATGCATTCCTCTTCGATGGACACCAAAGATAATGCTATACTTTACAGGGTAGCACAAATGTCTCACAGAGATCTTGAGTTTGACTCTTAAGTAGTTAGATGTAAGTTTGTTGGCTCATATGGCAGTTTTGGCATGTGTTGGTTTGTTCTCTGAGAAGCCACCATCATGTGAGCAACAGAAACCACACCATTTTATCTTCCTACTAACATTGTACTTACCAAGGTCCCCATTTCTTCCCATTCTCACCAACAGTTTCTTTCTGTTTTGTTTTCTTTTCCTTTGTGAGGTGTCCTCACAAGCACGATGTGACTCGCATCGTGGTTTCGATTGGTAATTCACTGATCCTAGGCATCTTTTTTGCTGTATCTGTGGATGCATTAACATTTGTTGATAGCTATAGATTTGTATGTGGTCTTTGAATAAATGTTGACTTAAATTTTGCTCATTTTCCATCAGGTTATCCGCCTGGGTTTGCTGAACTCTGTATTGTTTGTTTTGCCTTTAGAGGATAGGCA